AGGGGATTTATTAACCTATACTATTCAAAAAACATTTTCAAAAATAAAATTAATTATTGAAAATAAAACTGTTTTAAAGTAAAAGTTTTTAAATGCTAATTATCTGAACATTTAAAAATGAGGAAGGGAGGGGCTGACAGGTGGCATGGTGGTTAATGGCGCTGAACTCCCACATGGCCGATCATAGTCCGAGTCCCGGGCCTGGCAGCTTGCTTTCTTGCTTTCCTTCTCTCATTCTCTTGCTCATTCTATCCCTCTCTGATCAAATTAAAATGAATGAATAAATAAATAAAGTTAAATAAAATAATGAAGGGAGAGTTAGATAGTAGGACTGTGACATGGCAAGGCCTTGTTGAAAATTCCTCTATCTTTTTGAACACAGTGCCTACCAGTCAGGAAGAGAAGCCTTATCATAAACCAACTCCAATGGCACCTTAATCTTAGAATTCTAGCCTCTAGAACTGTGAGAAAATAATGTCTGTTTTTTAAGCCACTCAGGCCGTGTGGTATTTTCTTATACCAGGTATATTACATACTACAAGTAAAAACATTCAAAAGTGAAATAATACATTTCATAACTAAGTTGTCACAGTTTTCACATGCACATAAGGAAAAAATTGGTATTAACTAATCATCTATGCTACTTTGTTTTCCTCTGCTTTAGATAAATGTCCATTTTCAACTCCCAACCTGAATGCCTACTCATTCCCTATCATTCATCCCACACCTAACTCATATTTCACCTTCGGCATCAAGCATTTCTGGGCACCATCAAGCCAGTGACTGTCCCCCTCTTCTAAACTCTTATAGCCCTTCCACCTAGGGCGTCTTTAAATACATACGTTGAGCATCCCTATTCTGGAAATCTAAAATTGAAATACTCTAAAATTCAAAACTTTTTGAGTGCTGACATAATGCCACAAGTAGAAAATTTCACACCTGACCTCATATGACAGATCATAATCAAATCACTGTAATACAAAAAAAAAATTGCATAAAATTACCTTCAGGCTACGTATACAGATATACAGAAGCCATAAATAAATTTTGTTTAGACTTGAGTCCCATTCTCAAGATACTTTATTATACATATGCAAATATTCAAAAATCCAAAATAATCTGAAATCCAAAATACTTATCCCAAGTATTTGGATAAGTGATACTTACTCTGTATATATATCATTATTACTGATATAATGCCAATAATATCCTATGACCCTTCAAAGATGAGTGAAGGGTTGATTAAGGAGGAGATTTAATGAAAGTAAATTTTAAAAAGGAGGGAGGACTGAGAAAAGGAAAAGAGAAATGTATGTGTTTTGAGTAGAGGTGGAAAAACTAATGGGATATAACATTTTCCCTTTTCAGTGCTACATATACTATTTTGATATCTAAGTAATTTCTTTGAGTTTACTTTCTGCATTGAAATAGGGGCCCATGGGAATAATAACTACCTAAGAACAGGAATAAGAATTTGTTTTAATTCTGGTCCAGTGTCTGTGAAATCCTGCCTGGAAGATTTGATTTCTTTCTTTCCCTGTTTCTTCCGCTTCTAACACTCCACAAGCCGTAGAAGTCTAAGACTGAGGGCCTGGCAGCTGGCATAATGGCTATGTTGCTGGACTCCCATGTAGTCGACTGTGGTTTGAGTCTTGGACCTGGTGGCTTAAACGCACGCCAGGCGCATGTGCATGTGTGCCCAAGATCCCAAGAGGAGAATGGAGGAGAAGGGATTGCAGCATGGCCATCCCCCCTGGGGAGTGATTTCTCGCTTTCTGTCTGTCTCTCTCTGTCTTTCTGACGAGCACACGCACCACCCCATAGCATAAAAACCTCTCCAAAGGACCAGCAGTTAGCGTAATGGCTATGTTGCTGGACTCCCCCATAGTCGACTGCGGTTCAAGTCCCGGACCCGGTGGCTTAAACTCATGCCGGGCATGTGTGCGTGCGTGCCCAAGATCCCGAGAGGAGAATGGAGGAGAAGGGATTGCGGCATGGCCATACCCCCGGGGGTGATTTCTCGCTTTCTATCTCTCTGTCTGTCTCTGTCTGTCTGGCGAGTGCACGCACCCTATAGCAAAAACCTCTAAAAAAAAAAAAAAAAAAAAACCAACCAAACAAACAAACAAAAACCCTCTCCAAATAAATAAATAAATAAATCTAAGATTGAATTCTGGTAGTTTCAGAAGCTGCTTGGGAAAATAAAACAGGTAGGTAATAAGTGAATGATGAGTAAGAATCTCAAAGGCACAAATGTAAAAGGCACAAGTCATCTGGCTCTCCAACAAATATGCCAGAGATGCGGCATTCAGTTCTGCAGCGCATGGCTGATAACCAAATGCTCTTATTTTTATACCAATGTGACTTTAGAAAGTCATCACAATGTACACAACTGTATAAATATCACTCTCAGCGTGCCTACATTTTATTAATTTTTGTTTTTGAGAGAGAAGTTTTGCTATAGGGTGTGAGCGCTTGCTGGAGAGACAGAGAGACAGAAAGTGAGAAATCACTCCCTAGGGTGGACAGCCACACCATAATCCCTTCTCCATTCTCCTCTTGAAATTTTGGGCATGCACACACATGCACCCAGTATGAGTTTCAAGCCACCAGGTCCGGGACCCAAACTGTGTCAAGCACGTGGGAGTCCAGCGCCTTAACCACTATGCCACCTGCTGGCCCCATATTTTGTTATTAAGCTTAATGTCTGACGGGGGTAGAATTCTTTAAATTCTGTTTTTCTCTTTTTCCTTTATTGGAGAACTTAATGCAGACTACACAGCATAGGAGCTCTCCTTCTTCAGAGATAAACTTGGACCACAAGTTAAAGTAAGTCGATGGTGTTCAAGTTTGCAACTTGTAGAAGTTCTGTACAACTACAGCACCACACGTCTGCATATTCTGGCATAGCTAACAGACTGTCTGAATTGGATCCATATGACAGGCTGTAAAATATCCTCACATAACATCTGTTTGTACTGTGACTCTGCTTTGAGCCATTGCCATTTCTTTGTCTATTAATTAATTGTAAACTATATAATGAGACCATTAGCCCTGTCAAGTCCTCGCTTGCAAGTTTCCTCATCATCCCTTCCTTCCTATTGCCCCTCCCACACTGACAACTGTCATGGCTAAAACTACACCATTAATCTAGTCTCCTAACTCTGCCTACATTAAGTGTCTCCCACAGCCAGTGTTGCCAAAACAATAATCCTGAAATACCTCTTTGCGTACCACATTCCTTCATTTAAACCAAAGCCCCAAGCAAATGAACCCTTCGATGGCTCCCTATCTGCCCAATAAAAAGCCACATGGTTTAGTCTCACATTTAAGACCTTCGTAACCCGGTCTCAGTTTAGCATTCTCATGGCAACTGCTCCACTTCCTTTTATTCTGAAAAATTAGTCTATTCTCTAGGTCCTTTGTTCCTCGCCCCTGCCCAAACACATATACACCTTCTTTTTTTTACTCTCAGGGCTTTGCCCATACTGTTCATCTACCTTGAATGCCTTCACCACCACCCCTCCTGTAATCTATTCAGATTCAACCAGACGAATGGATAAACATGCTGTGATATGAACATACAATGGAATATCATTCAACCCTACGAAGGAGAGAGGTTCTAATCCATGCAAAAACATGGATGAACCTTGAGGACATGATGCTAAGCAAAATAAGCCAGTCACAAATGCACAAATATTGTATCGTGCCACTTTTATGAGGGATCTAGAGTAGTCAAGTTCAGAAGACAGAAAGTAGAATGATGATTTCCAGGGATTGGGGAAGGGAGGAAATGGGAAGTTACTATTTAATGAACACAGAGCTCCAGTTTGGCAAAATAAAAAAGTTTTGAAGACTAGTTGCCCAACAATGAGAATATACTTAACACTATTCTACATTTAGAAATGATTAAGATGGGGGCCCAGTTGCATAGTGCAGAAATTAAGCACTGCACAGAGGAAGCTAGATCTCACATGACCAACCAGAGTTCAAGACCTAGCCCCGGTGGCTTACACACCAGAAATGCACACGCATGCCTAGGATCCTGATAAGACTGGGGTGGGAGGGGGTGTTTTCTATTTTTCATGTGTGTGCACCTGCTCTCTGACATAATAATAAAAAAAGAAATGGAAACAAAAAAGGTTAAGATGATAAATTTCATGTTAAATCTGTGCTTTTTTTTTTTTTTAATCACAGTTAAAAAAAAATAATAGAATCAGCAGATGGCATAATGGTTATTTGTTGGACTCCCACTTAGTCGACTGTGCTTCGAGACCTGGACCTAGTGGCTTAAACTCATGCCAGGTGCGTGTCCGTGTGTGCCCAAGATCCTGAGAGGAGAATGGAGGAGAAGGGACTGTGGCATGGCCAATCCCCTGAGGGGTGATTTCTCACTTTCCCTCTCTCTGTCTCTGTCTGTCTCTCTGGCAAAAATCTCAATCCCTTCTCAACCACTCTCCTCCTGCCCAGTGGGGTCTTAGACTCAAACCATGGTCAGAAATGTGGGAATACAGAGCCTTAACCACCATGCCACCTGCTGGCCCTTTAAATATTTAAATTTATTTGTGCATAATATATTTAAAATTTTTTTCTATTATTCATTTTATGTTACTCTATTTATATAATGAGTTTTTTCATTACTGATTTTAGCAATAATTTGCAGAATCCTACACCACCTGCAATTTTGATTTTCATCCATATCCTTTCCTAACATATCTGCTTAAAGTGGTACCTAATTTTAATAGCTATATTTAAGGACAGATAAGATGAAGAAATAACAAAATGAAACAGAAAAGTTAAACCAATAGAATACAAATAAGGGAAAACCTATCTGTCCACTTTTAGTGGCAAGCAAGAAGTGTATTAGAGACTAAGCTCCTAGCTCTCAAAGACAAACTCAGCAGTTACTTGGATAGAAAATGGGTACTCATTCGATGAGAATCAAAACCAAAGAAAAACACAAGCATTGAGAGCAGCTGGAGTTTTAGGAATGGTCTAACCTGCATGGGATTAATCTTCACCGAGCGTTCAAAGCACTCCACACATTCCTGAAACTCTTTGTGCCGAAGATGAAGGAGCGCTTTGGAGCGCTGTGCACGAGCACTGCGGTGCCGGGACAGCTCCCAGGCCTTGTCATAGCAAGAGTGGTCTCGAAGGACATCGCCAAGCAAGCAGTATAAACTTGGTGTTTCTTTTTTCTCCAGCTCTTGCCTAAGGATTTCTTCTGCCTAGAAAGAACAGAAATAATAAAATTGCTCAATAGTGTCAAACGGCTATTAATTTTAGCACATATGCATAATTTTTCCCATATAATCCAAAAATTCTATTTTCAATTTTGACATTACTTGCTTATTTCATGCGTATAGGACACAGGCAGAATAAAAGAGGACCAAGAGAAGATACATACAGTAAAAGTGAAAAAGAGGAACACGGAGTAGGAGGTAACTACTGCTTTACTGTGTTCAGGAATCCTCAAGGAAAGGCTCTAAGGACAGACTTGCTGCAAGAGGTCTACCAGGTGGGCCCTAGTCCCCCTTTTCCTGCTATGGGTGTTACCCTGTGACCATCTGTTAGAGCAGCACCTTTAGTGCACCTCTACCCAGAGGCAAAGAAAAGTGCACTTTCCCTTTTTTTAAAGTAGTCTGGTTGAGGAGCTTAGGGTTGCTGAGAAATTTTTAGAGAAGTGCAATTTACTAAAAACCTACTTCTGATCTAAAACTCTACCTTATCCCACAGATAAAACTTGCCAAGAGTTTCTTATTCCAGAACATACATCCATTTAAAAATAAAAATTAAAAAAATCATCCTCAGTACACTATACTGGCTTGGGTAGTCTCACAGGTCCAAACTCAGAACCACCTCATCACTCCAGCTAATTCTGCACTTGTCACCACCACTTCTTGACTTCCCTCCATATCCATGTCAGCCACTCTGTTTCTGATAAATATCAACAGAGGATAGGACGCATGCAGTAGCTCTACATACACACAAATGCCTTCACGTAAACAGCAGTGGAATCACCAAAGATGCTAAGATAACCATGGCCAAAATGAATGTAGCTATCCAAGGAAAGTCATTCAACAGCCAAAATGGGACTTTATAAAGTCCCTAACATACCTAAATTGGCAATTTAAAGTCTGTATATTGTATTTTCTTTAAGGTTGGACATATGTATAATTTTAAAAATATTTTTAAATTTTATATATTTATTTATTATTAATTTTGCTATAGGGCACATGTGCTCATGAGAGAGAAAGAGAGAGAGAAAGCCACCAAGTCCAGAGTTTGAACCACAGTTGGCCATGGGGGAGTCCAGCACCTTAACCACTATGCCACCTGCTGGCCTCATATTTATCATTCTTAAGCAGTCTAATTTTTGTGAGATCTTTTAAAAGAAGGCTGTACTTCTGAAAGTCTTTGGATGTTGGCTCCTCTGCATTTCTGATACATTGTGGGTTATGAAGGCTTTAAGGCTTACTCAAAAAAATGGAACCAGAGTTTACAAAATGGGTTTTTAAGGGAAAATAATTCTAAGTACCAAATAGCCAAAACAAACATAAAGTTTTAGAGTATAATCCATGTAATTCTTCTATTTGCAAATATAATAATTGTTAGTATACCCAGGACCAGCAGATGGCGCAATGGTTATGTTGCTGGACTCCCACATAGTCAACCGTGGTTTAAGCCTCGAACCTGGCAGCTTAAAACTCACATTGGGTACATGTGTGTGTGTGTGTCCAAGATCCTGACAGGAGAATAGAGGAGAAGGAATTGCAACGTGGCCATTCCCCATGGGGGGAGGGTCATATTTTGCTTTCTGTCTGTCTCTCTGGCGAGCACATGCACCCTATAGCAAAAATCTCTCTCTAAAAAAAAAAAAAAATTGTTAATGTACCTAACTGTAACCTCGGTAAATCATCTATAAAGAGATGCACTCAGCCAAGATTGTGTCTAAAACTGTAGCCACAGCAGAATTTCTGCTGAATGGTCTTATAATGGGTTGAAGGCACCCCTCTTGGCAGTCTGGCTTTGAAACTTGGTACCAACAAAAAACTTGGTACCATCCCAGATATTCTGAAGGTTGATTCATTTTATAAATTATTTTCTGCTTAAGCATGTTACAGTGGACTCTGTGGTGTACAATTAAACAAGGACCGCTACAGTGATTGGGCATAGAAAAGATGTAGGCAATATACCCCTGAGAGAAATAAAAAGTTGTGATTGGTATCTGATGTGGCTGAATTTGAAGAAAGCAAGAATGCAGGGATCACGAGGGGGTAGAACACTAGCTGTCCACGATATCCCGTGATAAAAGAATGATTTAAACTACCACCTGTGTGACTGAGACTAAAGCGCCTACCTAATGCAAGGCTTTGCATATCGAGTGATAGGACATTTTGAGAGAATATAATAACCATGAGGTAGGTTAGCTGCTTCCAAGTTCACTGGATAATGTGAAGGAAGAAAATGACAGGGTTTTAAATCCTCAAGCTCAGGGAACCAGGGAATTTCTACAACTGTCTAATCCTATTTGTTTTCCCTGTAGCTGCCAAACTGATACAACCCCAATCAAATGTAGGTAGACACTGCTTCTGATGCATTGCTTGATTATAACGTAGAATGAATTCAGCTTCGCTAGTTCTATGTGAAAGTTAGTACATTTGATCATGCTAACTGAATATGCTTGTCTTCCACTTAATTTCCTTTACTGGATTTTAGCTATAAATAATTTTATTACTCTTTATTTATTGTTCTAAGTAGGCTGTGACAATGATAAAAGGAGACTAAGTGACTTTCAAAGCTCAGTCATAAAAGGCCATGCCGATTTTGTTTGCTTCTCTTGGACTACCTGCTTGGAGCCCTGAGTTTCCATGTAAGTAGTACTGCTGCTCTAAGATAACCATACTGTGAAGAAACTTGACTTACTCATGTGGAGAAACTACATGGAGAGGCTCTGAGATTAGAAAAGAAAGCTGTCCAGCTAGTCCCTAGCTGTCTCAACCCCCACTGTCCCAATTCTAGCCACCATCCGGTTGCAACTACATGAGAGATTCCAAGCCACTTCCCAGTCAAGCCCTCCCTGAATTCCTGTTCAACAGAACAAGACTAAATAAATAAATAAATAAATGACTGCTGTTATCTTATGCCACTGGGTTTTGAGTAACTTTGGTACACAGCCATAGTAATTGCAACAGCTGTTTAAAGCAAGAAGGTAAGGAATAAATATAAATATACTGCTAGGAATATACTGGACATAAATATACTAGGAATAAATATACTGCTAGCAATAAAAGCAGGCACTGATTATAAAAGAGCAAGACCCAAGAATTTAAACCTGGACATGTGAGATATGTCAGATATCAAAAACACTCAATTCCCATTGATCTGTCTGGTAAGACTTATGCTGCCTTGTTTAAAGACTACAATGATTGCACCTTTCCATTTTGCATCGCCTCCAGACATATAAATAAATGCATACACAAAAATAGTTGCAAGATTGTGTTAATTTGTAGAGAGAAAACCTTGGGAACATGTGTTAAGAGGAATTCTAAGGGTTGTAGGCCAGGGAAAAAAGGGGGGGGGATTATAATTTAAATCAGGCTGAATTTAGATACTCATCAGAAATTTTTGAATTGCAGTCCTAACTCAAGCAGTTGGAGACAATTCTAAAATATTTCCTCAACTGCTTGACTAAAGCCTGGATTCAAATGCAGTCAAACTAAACGAAGTTGAGATGCCAGAAAAAAAAGCTGCTGTTAGTTTATCATTTACAACCTGCTCACTCGCCCCTACTGCTATGTCCCCCAAGAGCGCCACCAGGTCCAGGACTCGAACTGTGGCCTCCCATATGGGAGTCCAGCACCTCAATCACTATGCCACCTGCCAGCCCTATTTTTTCTTATTTTTTTAAGTGCTCAGATTAGGGGCTATTTAAAATAACTTTTATGACTTTGTCTAGAAAGTCTAATATTTAGGCATCCCCAGGGATGGCTCTTATTGATTTTTTTCCCCCTATAGTACAACCATACTTGTTTTTTTTTTTTTTTGCATATTTCATAATTTTCTGTTGAACGTTACACATTGTCTTACAATATAATCTGGCATCTGTGGAAATCAGATTTTTTTTTGGGGGGAGAGGTTTTTTGCTATAGGGTGTGTGTGCTCACTAGAAAGACAGATAGACAGAGAGACAGAAAGCAAGAAATCACCCCTCAGGGGGATGGCCACACTGCAATCCCTTCTCCTCCATTCTCCTCTCAGGATCTTGGGCACGCACGCATATGCACCCTGCGTGAGTTTAAGCCACTGGGTCCGGGACTCAAACCGCGGTTGACTTAGGGCACATGTGCTCATGAGAGAGAAAGAGAGAGAGAAAGCCACCAAGTCCAGAGTTTGAACCACAGTTGGCCATGGGGGAGTCCAGCACCTTAACCACTATGCCACCTGCTGGCCTCATATTTATCATTCTTAAGCAGTCTAATTTTTGTGAGATCTTTTAAAAGAAGGCTGTACTTCTGAAAGTCTTTGGATGTTGGCTCCTCTGCATTTCTGATACATTGTGGGTTATGAAGGCTTTAAGGCTTACTCAAAAAAATGGAACCAGAGTTTACAAAATGGGTTTTTAAGGGAAAATAATTCTAAGTACCAAATAGCCAAAACAAACATAAAGTTTTAGAGTATAATCCATGTAATTCTTCTATTTGCAAATATAATAATTGTTAGTATACCCAGGACCAGCAGATGGCGCAATGGTTATGTTGCTGGACTCCCACATAGTCAACCGTGGTTTAAGCCTCGAACCTGGCAGCTTAAAACTCACATTGGGTACATGTGTGTGTGTGTGTCCAAGATCCTGACAGGAGAATAGAGGAGAAGGAATTGCAACGTGGCCATTCCCCATGGGGGGAGGGTCATATTTTGCTTTCTGTCTGTCTCTCTGGCGAGCACATGCACCCTATAGCAAAAATCTCTCTCTAAAAAAAAAAAAAAAATTGTTAATGTACCTAACTGTAACCTCGGTAAATCATCTATAAAGAGATGCACTCAGCCAAGATTGTGTCTAAAACTGTAGCCACAGCAGAATTTCTGCTGAATGGTCTTATAATGGGTTGAAGGCACCCCTCTTGGCAGTCTGGCTTTGAAACTTGGTACCAACAAAAAACTTGGTACCATCCCAGATATTCTGAAGGTTGATTCATTTTATAAATTATTTTCTGCTTAAGCATGT